TCCTTCGGTCAGTGGGGAACATAGGAGGAGAGGAAATAGGTTTGAGGGTCAAGGGGAAGAGAACAAGGGGAAGATGAAGAGAGCAAGGGGGCTGGGAGCGGAAGGGTGAGAAGGCTGGGGGAGGAGCCTGGGTCTGGTTCAAACAAAGGCAGTGAGTCAGGCGGTAAGAGCTAGAGGGGCCATTGACGTGGGAACTGGGGGATTCGGCTTCCTTGATTCCCTCCGGTGTCACAGTGACTCAGGAACTTGGACACAAAGCTCCCTAGATCTCCCTGCTTTGGATGTCACAGTGACACTCACTCTGGGTTCCATGACAACAGCCTCTTCCCTCAGTGTGATGCGGCCACCCACCCACACTCATGCAACACAGTGGTGCACACCCACAGGAGTGTCACAGGGAGACTCATAGAAGGGACTCAGCCACAATATGCCCCTCCCCCACCATGATAAGATTCTAGGGACTCCCACATGCTTACCCTATCCACATCCCCGCTGACCAGGAAGTCAAAAGTCAGAGTTCCCAAGGGCACTCAGACCAGGCAGCAGTTACCAGGACAATGAGGGGCCCTAGGCCCAGGAGAGGCCTTGCTGACTGTTTCCATGCTGCATGGTGCTGCTGTGCCACCTTTCCCCACTTAAGAGTCCAGAGAGGGACAGTGTCCAGCTCCAGGTCACACAGCTCCTCAGTGAAGGGCAGGGCTCTGGCCCCAGGCCAGGATCAACAAGGCAGTGTGCTCTCCCTCAGATCCCCTCCACTGAGGCAGAAGATGAAGCTTGGTGTTGTATCATAAAGTGTTGTATGGCTTCAGGCCCAGGACAGTGGGGGAGCCAGATGGGACTGGAACTGATGGGGAGGGGACCTGGAGACCTGTCTTCAATCTGAGAGCCAGGGCTGCCTGCCTGAAGATGTTGCTATGTTGTGCCTGTGTGTATGCCCACTCATTGGGGCTGTTGCTATTCTTATCCACTTGGTGGTGGCGGCAGGGTCAGAGATAGTGTCTGGGTGGGGGGAGTAATGAACATCAGCCTCTTATCTGACACATTCCCTGGAAACTTGGCAGGGGCTGCCAGGCTCTGGGGGCCTAAGCAGGGGGGAGGTAAGGTGGTCACGGGGACAGGTTGTGGGCTCACCTGAACAAGACCCTGCACCAGTTGCCTCTCCTACAGCCAGGTGAGGTTCCATCAGAATTGGCCTGGGGGTTTCTGGGATTTCTTCTCATGTGGTCATCGAGACCCTCAAGTCATTCTTGGCTTCCTACCCAGTCCAACCCAGAATGCACCATCTCGGAGCTTCTGATGCTCCAGAAGACAATGTGTTGGTTTCCCCAGTGAGGCCGTAGGTGGGGGCTCCTTCTATGGGGAGAGCATTACATTGTGAGCCACAGAGGCCCAGGCTGGCCACTGTCCTGCCAACTTCCAGGCTGTGTGATCTTGGGCAAGTTGCTTCCCCTGTCTGAGCTTCAGTTTCCTCATCCTTTTCCTGGGCTGTTGTAGGGATGAGAAAGTCCAACAGTTGGGAAGTGAGGCTAAGGTCTGTAAATACGTGTGTGTATGAGTGTGTGTTCCTGTGCATGCGTTCAGGGGTGGGCGGCCAGGATGGGGAGAGGGAGGCACATGGGTTCCCCAATTTGGAGACTCCCGCCTCATGGATTTTCCATTGGCACGTCGGCACCCTATCCTCCAAAATAGGCCCTATGAGCCGTGTGCGACAGAGCCCAGACTGAGGGAACTTTTTTTAGCTGCCCTTTGATTGTCAGCTCTCAAACGGCCACTATTTCAAGCCCTAACGCCTGGAGGAGTAGGGCCAAGTGGGGGCCAGCGTCAGCTCAGTGGGCCTGGCTGGCTCCCCAAAGGCATCCCCGAGGGGGCCAGCCATGCCCTCTCATGCTCAGCAATGCTGGCAGGGACAACATAGCATC